AAACGTCCTAGGACACACTATAGATCTTCAAGGCATTCGACTCCTTAGGACCAAAGTGGCGGCAATTCCGGATTACCCAGAATCGACCACCGGCAAGCAATTACGCACGTTTAACGGCCTCGTAAGTTTCTATAGACGTTTCATACCGAAATGCGCATTACTCATGAAACCGCTAACAGACCAACTTCGTGGAAATGCGAAATCCATTAATTTGGACAACACCGCACGAAAAGCATTCTCCACAGTTAAGGAACTGATTGCTAAAGCAACAATGCTCGCACATCAGGACACTCAAGCACCCATTAGTATCGCAGTAGACGCATCCGACTCGGCAATCGGAGTCTGACAACAATGGGTGAACAACTCATGGCAACCCTTAGCATTTTTCTCTAGACGGTTGCTAGACACCGAATCGAGGTATAGCACATTCGGTAGGGAACTCTTAGCTATGTATTGTGCTGTAAGACATTTTCAACACTACATCGAAGGCCGTGAATTCACTCTTTCACGGACCATAAACCGCTCACTTTCTCGTTAAGCTCTCCTTCAGACAAGTACTCTCCCCGTGAGTCTCGACAACTGGACTACATTTCGCAGTTTACTGCAGATATTCAACACATCTCTGGAGCAAACAATGTAGTTGCAGACGCTTTATCTCGCATAACTTCCTTGAACAGTTTCCAAGGAATCGACCTTCTTAAACTCGCCGAGCTTCAAAAAGAAGACACTGATCTTCAGCACGAGTTATCGTCCACAACCCTTAAACTACGCATCAAACAGATGGGAACAAGTAAGGCAACCTTACTTTGTGACACATCTACAGGTAGGGATCGCCCAATCGTGCCGAAACATTATCGACTCAATGTCTTCAATACATTGCACAAACTTTCTCATCCAGGTGTTCGTGCAACCATCATGCTTATAGCAGAACGGTTTTGCTGGCCTGGTATGAATAAAGACGTGAGGGAGTGGGCACGCTCCTGTGTAAGCTGCCAAAAATCTAAGGTCATCAGACACAATAAATGTCCCTTAGGCTCATTTAAAACTCCCGATGCTCGTTTCGACTATGTTCATCTGGATTTGGTAGGACCTTTACCAGATTCAAATGGATACGCCTACCTCTTAACCTGCGTAGACCGTTTCACTCGATGGCCAGAAGCAGTACCAATCAAAGACATTACTGCTGAAACAGTGGCCCGCGCCTTCGTCGAACGATGGGTAGCGAACTTCGGTTGCCCTTCAACCATCACTACAGACCGCAGACGTCTGTTTGAATCTGAACTCATCCGTCGTCTGACCACACTATTAGGAAGCACTCGCTTCCGAACGACCGCCTACCAACCACAAGCAAACTGGTTGGTAGAGTGCTTTCACTGACAAATAAAAGCTTCACTATCAGCTGCAAACATTTCACAGTGGACTGACGCTCTTTCACTTGTCTTGCTAGGTATTCGCAATGCAGTGAAAGCTGGCATTGGATACACTGCGTCTCAACTCGTTTATGGAACGACAGTTCGACTTCCAGGAGAATTCGTGGATCCCTCATCCTCTTCAATGAACATGGATCTAACCTCCTACACGAACAGGCTTACAAACGCAATACGTTCAGCTAAACCTGCTTCCACTCGACCTCAATCAACTGATGTTTCCGTTCAACCTGACTTACGATATAGTACACACATTTTCGTTCGTCGATACTCTCATCGACGACCATTCGAATCAGCATACGAAGGACACTTCAAAGCTCTTCAACGTGAATCTAAGTACTATATAGTCAATAGGAACGGAACAAACGATAGCATCAGCATCGATCGCTTAAAAGCAGCGTATTTAGAAGGAAATCCCATTCACATCGATTTCCCTTCCGTACAATCGCACAACACGACTCCTACACTCATAATTCCTCAACCGACAACCAACACTAGCGATGATACTCCGAATGTATCTGAAAATAAAATTAAAACGACGCGTTCTGGAAGAAGAGTAAGATTTCCAGAACATTTAGACAACTATCGCACGTAAGGCACTACTCGACATTTTATATTATCTCGATCTTTCTTTTTACGATATATAATATTTCAAAAAAAACAATTTTAATATGCTTATATATTTTTATTTTTATTTCAAAGAAAACGAAAAAGCATGAAAATCTTTTTTCAGCGATATTACGCGTACGTGAGTTTATTTTCCAATTTTTTCGCCCGAATTGTGTTTTTACGCACATACGCATGTATTTCGACATGCACCTACACTTTCTTTTTTCTTTTCCAGGACGGCTGGAAAAGAACGATGCAGTTTACGAGGAATCGAAATCGTTCGTTGTAACTTTTTCTTTTTTTTACTATGTTGTACCTCCATCCCATATAGTAAGGAAAGACAACCAGACGCTGCTAAACCTAGCAAGCTATCAGAAGAGTGTTTACCAACGACAAACTCGTTGGGTTTAAACTTCTGGCTTGCCACGTCTTAGGGTCACTACTACCCTACTAGGGGGGAGTGATCTGTAGCGGTAATTAAATCCCCAAAATAAATAGCCCTAAGTTTTCGACATTGGATGCTGACCACATGTTTTAGTGGATTTAACTAGCTGAAGGCGCTCGGTCATGCATCCGTACCAGATCACGTGTGGGAACGCCGTGCTCAACTGCTACTGTAATCGCTAGCCAGATTAGATCAGAGAATTCCGATATTTTTTTGTCGCCAAATATACTCTTCCGATCTCCTCGACTCTGTCTTTTGATTTCTCTGGGTGGGAACGAAATATATTAGAAGGTGTTACTGGTAGAAGCGTTGTCAAACACTGAATACCTGTGTCATCTTCATGCTCATCTAGTTCTACCTGCCATAGATTGCACTATTTCGGGAATTCTTAGTTGGTACATTAATTCGAATACATCTAAATAATATAAGCATTTTTTTAGGTCAGCAGAAATAACCAAAACTAGTTATTATCACAAGCATAAAGTTGAAACTGTTAGTCTAAAGAGTAGCAAGCATAAAGAACAGCTTCAGAATCATCGCATGGTTCCCTCAACTCCAATCCTAAATAGCCTGAGACAAACAGAACGTTTTGTCCTGTTAAAATAAGTGATCTGAAATAATTCCATTCATTTTCGGTGTTCGTCAGTTATTTCCGACATTACGAATATGTTTTTGGCCAACTCTTAACCACCTATTCAACTTGATACAAAGTAAACGTCTTTCCTTTCCTTATGTTTGCGCCTTTTACATTGATAGTTTGGTAACCCCATATCTCACTTTAATTAGATTGTATGAATGATTGCTGTCGAAATATACATCATGACTATTCTCGTATATTTTTATCGACTTTTTTAATTACCTTATTCACTAACGAGGATTAAGCCAAATACGAGAATGGATTTTCGAATACATATATTTTGCACACTCACTGATCTGGGCAGACAATCAGATGGATGAGGCGAAGAAAGCGAAGGGAGTGAAGCAAAATGGCGCGCTGTGGAGAAGGCGTGTGGGCCAACTCGATTTAATCAAGCGTTAATCAATATTTATAGCTACAGAAAAATGGGTCACAGGTATGTTGTAAGTGGTGTAAGAAGTGCACACACATGTGAGCCCATATAAAAAGTCACGGTTGATAAGTTAATAATCAACAAGGCCGAAACGTGATTGAAGTAGAATGGATAAATTCGCCTGTCCAGAAACCAGAATAGGTTATGTGGGCTTAACATAGTAACCAACACTACAATAGTTCTGGATACAAATTGGCTTCTTGACTTTCATTCGAAACTCTGTTCTGTGTTAGCCATTAACAGCAATCTATGGCTGGCCAACTGAACGAAGGTTAAGTACCAATCAGCTGAAATGCTTGGAAATAGTATCTCAATAGAAGCTGTGCGATATGACTGCTGGTTGAACCACTGAAGACTGGCAACTGGAAAACTCTGTGTGAACATATAATAATCTAACGAAAAAGAACGAATCTCAATAATTCTGGAATTTCCACAAGACACAGTCTAGGACTCAAATTCGTAGTATGTGGTAAAAAATCTTGTAAAATTATTATGATGGGTCTATATTCAGCACAAAATATTTAACTGCAAAGTCAGTGTATTAGTTATTCACGACACTCCAGCTTTTGCTCGTCAGGAAGAGGTCACATGGCAGATCAACGTTTTCTGATCAGCGGCAAATATATCGATCGACTTATTACAGTACTGTCACCTATCTTCTCTTAGCTCCTTTATGGATAGGGTCCTAATGCTTTTAAAATATTTGTATGTACTTTCGTTACTGGTTCATTTGAACTCCGTCCATAAGGCTTTGCTCTGACATATCATCAGAACTTCTTGATTGCTAATGACATAAGGTTGCTCATATATTTTAATGACCATTTGCGGAAGATACTTAGTTGTAGCGCGTAAGGTCATGTGAAGTACCAAACTCCAGTGATCATTCGCGTCCAACTGAAAGCAGGTTCCGACATTCAGCTTTTGTAAATTTCTCTTTACACCTAACCCATACAAATGTTCAAAATACAGGTGCCCCTTCACTGAACAAGGGACAAACACACTCATTAGCGATTTTTTGTATTATGTGGTTACAGATACTTAATTTCAGTGATCAGCTGCACGGATATTCAAAGTGGATGGCTCCCATGTCCTTCAGAAAATTCCGAAAGCGTTGTCGTCTTACAACATGTGTTTCAAAGTTTTTTTATTGTTACGGTTTAGGCGTTACTTTCCAAGACCTTTTTTCTGGAGTCTTTCATTTGAGCCTTGTAAGGTGTGGCAATGTCGTTGTTGTATTTTCAGCTTAAGTTCTTTCTTGGTTATTGACCACTTGTGACTGTGGACAAAGTTACCTTAATCCTAAAAAAATGCTTGAACCTGATAACTAATCTTACTATTCGAATATAAGGTGAATCCACTACGACACTTGTTACTGGGCGGCTAGCCATGTCACACATAGTGTCTTCAAGGAATTAGACAAGATGCTGAACACCAATATATTGGACTTCACGCGACCTTGGAACTGTACAGACTTTGGAGACAAGGCGGGTCGGCGTAACCTTGAGATGAGTTCCTTATCGAAATTTTTCAAGTCTAAGAAGAATGATAAACCAGAAACTCAAACGGCAATTCATAAGCTTAGAGAAACACATGAAATGCTCACAAAAAAGTCGGCCTTTCTGGAAGGAAAAGTTGATGAGCAGATAGCTTTGGCCAAAAAATACGGTCTTAAGAACAAAAGAAGTAATATTTATTAGTCGGAATTATTTAATTTATTAGTGGCACTTCAGGCCTTGGCTCGCAAGCGTAACTACGAGAAGCAACTAGCTCAGATTGATGGGACTCTCAATACAATTGATAGTCATATCGAAGCTCTCGAAAATGCTGGAACAAATGTCGAGGTTCTTAATGCCATGCGATATGGGTCAAACGCCTTAAAAAATGTCCACAAAAACATGTAACTGTTAGTGTGTTATGATCTTAATGCTTTTAGGACTGCTGATGATGTACAGAATATTATGGATGATATACAAGAACAACGAGATACGTGCCAGGAAATCTCTAATGTAATATCCACCCCTATGGGTCTAAATGCAGACTACGATGAAGATGACCTTCTTCGTGAACTTGAAGAGCTTGAGGTAACTCACTGCTGCGTGGCTTGTTAATTTAAAGGCTTAGATATTGTTTATAATTTGGTTTAATTTTTAAGTTCATATGTTTTGTATTCCCTGTTTGGTAGATTGGCCTTCTAAATCAGTCAGTCAGCTACAACGTAGGACCAGGCACATATGTGCATCGGTCCAGGTTGCCATACCTCATTAGCACAACAAGATGAACACCGGATTCATAGGAGTGGTTAGGTCAAAGGTTGCAATAAGGATATAGTATAGGAAGGAAGAATTAGTTCGTAGAAAGAAAGATATGAAGTGATTTTAATCTCTTAGTTTAAGGGAAGACAGGGAGTGTATACACCGACGCCATTGTGATCGATTCTGAGCCATGTCACCAAGAGTCTCCAACCATTGGTTACGATAGTCACGCGGACCCCAACCAAGTAGTCTGCATCTACCAACATGGCTCAGACTAGAAGTTAGTGACGTCAAGCACTGATGCCACGTTTTGGTTTGGCCGCCCCTAACTTTCTTCCAACCAACCCCTACACCGGTTAGCATTGCACGTCGTGGTAATCGGTGTTCAGGCATACGTAATACGTGGCCCAACCATCTCAGTCGATGAAGATTCATAACCTCATCAACTGATTTACCATCATTCCCTAATACCCTGCGTCTAACCTCACTATTACTTACCCGGTGATCCCAGCAGATGCCAGCAATATTTCTAAGGCATCTGTGGTCAAATACTAGTAGCTTACGGGTGTCTTCTACTCTTAAAGGCCATGTTTCGCTGCCGTAAAGTAAGACAGAACGAACTGCCGCGCAGTATACTCGTCCTTTTATTGATAGACGGATATCTCGCCTCCGCCAAAGGTGACGTAAGTTGGCAAAAGCCAAACGAGCTTTTCGAATCCGTGCTGAGATTTCGTTAGACACCAACCTATTAGGGCTGATCAGACTTCCAAGATAAGTGAAGTTGTCGACGCGTTCGACTACTTCACTCCCTATCCTTAGTTCAGGTGTTGACGCAGACCAGTCCTGAAGCAACAACTTGCATAAATAAACAACCACATACGTTTTACTTAAGTCGAGGACAGGTATACTTATGTGTTAACATTCGTACGGTTTTTCGAAGTCTTATTAGTAAACATGGGGTTAGTGTTAGGTTTGGAAACCCCTTTTAAAGGAAGGTCAGTGTATCCCACTTAATGTTTGGTGGACAATTAAAGTGGTTTTCATACATACAATAAAAGTGTTGAAAACGTGGTTTTCAAACGTGCTACAACTTTCCAAAATATTTCAGTAATTCATTTTGATTATATTTTGAATTTTTGTGGATTAAATCCAATCTCCATCCAATTACCTAACTGTAGATAGGTGGCCATTATGAAATACCAAGTAGTCCACTACTGATTTGATTATTTGGCTCTTACTATCAATACTTCTGTGCTACATTCCATTCTTATTCCTAAGTATCTCACACTTTCTTGTCGAAAAACTACATTTAGACTCCGTTCGCCAGATAACTATTATGGAGCTGTTATTACACAGGCTGAATTTTGTTAAGTATTAATGGCTATCAAGGACATTACGTGTTAGCAGAAATAAATATTACACCAGGTTTACTCATGCCTCTATTCATTGTTCAAATATAACTATTTGTAAAGGTTCACATTGTTTTTGCAGCTACTCCATCATAATGATAGGCGTAGTAAAATGCAGCAATGTAGTTATATGTTAAAATGTCTGAAACTACCAAGAAATAATGAATTTCATCCAGTCAAGTGATGGTCAAACATGTTGCTTTAAAAGGCAATATGGTTTGATAATACACCAGTACTTAGCCTTTTTTATTGTTTTTATTTTCGGATAGTGGATGCATTCAGTGACACCAGTTTGGCGTGGCCTTCAACTAAAATGTCCGATATTTAACTGTGTTTCAATCTGACCAGCAGTCCGTACTAGCCACTCGATTTCCGTCCATTTTAACTTGGTCTAATTGAATCAGCTCCTAACACATTAATGCTATACATTACCTTGTAAAATTTTGTTTGAAATTCGCACTTATATAACGGTGATTGTCTACAGATATCTGTAATGAATCATTGTTATTACCTCGTTAAGATCTATTTCCTACTCTCCAACGCCTTTATTTCAGGAAATGACATGCATTGTGGTCGCCGGCTTTACAAGTACTATTTATGTTCGAAGCGAAATTGATAGTTTGTAGTGACGAATGTTTCTCTCTCTCAAGCATGAGCTTCATTTCATTTAACCCTGCATTTTTCATAACCCTGAAATAAAAAACGTCGACCTATATATCTTGGTTCGAAATCGTGATTTCTTCCTTCTGGCTATGTATTTGCAAAAGTCATTCAGCCAGTAACAACGTAGAACTTCGTACATTCGTACATCAGTTCGAGTTGCCAAACCACATTAGCACAGAGATGCAGTTGTCGATTCAAATCCCATAGTGGTAGGGGTAGTAAGAGTATGAGCAGTAATCGAAAAGATTAGGGTTTGAAGATGTTATTCAAGGATTATAATCCAGTGAAATAAATTTGGAAAGCGAAAGAAAATGACACGAATCGATCACTGTTCTCAGACTTTAGTGGAGTAAGACTATATTGAAATGTAGCTGATTCCCTTAAATAGTACAATCTAATTCAGTATACTGTGAACCTGATAGATGAACACATGACAGAGTACTATGCTGTCAGAAAGCCAAATCTCTTTATTTGAGAAATGTAGAGCTGACTCAGGATACTTTTTCTGCAAGGTTCAATCATCGACATTGAGTATGTAGGTCATAAAAGAAGAAAAAGCAGGATTGGTTGGAGTAAGTGAAAATATGTGAATAAAAAGGAGTCTAACTATAAAACATTAACGTTTACATCATTAAATTACCGACCATGGTTTTGCAGGAGTAATTTTACAATACGTATTTATTGTTCATAAGATGTTATATTGTATCCCAAAAGGATAAAGGAGGTTGCACAGAAGAAACGGTTCGAGAAAAAATGTAGATTCGTGGAATAAGTTAACTGCAAAACTTAGGATCTTAAAGGGTAAAAGGAATAAATGCATCTTATCTACCATTACGAACGATTCTGAGTTTTGTTACCCAGTCTTTAATTATTGGTTACAAGAACCACATGAACTCCAATTAAGCAACCAGAACCTACCTACACGGTCTACACCAACATTCATAGATTAATGCCATGTTTTTGTGTTGACTTGCTCCTATCTCTTCCTCAACCTACCATTCCATTTGTAACTAAATAATTTTAAACTACAAATTTCTTTTTATGAATGTGGTTTTACAGCAAAGATAGCTTAGTAAATTAAAGCGCTCAACTTTCAACCATTAGATTGTGAATTCAAACCTTTCTCCATCTGCCTCGATTTCTAAAGTTGGATAAGTGTCATCGGCCTTCACATTAACTGCACAGTTGAAACCTGATGTCAAACCATGTAATCTATAGTCCTATTTCTATCGTTTTTTGTTACAATTCATTACTTTATTAGATTACATCATAGTCAGTATTACAAATAATTTGTGTTTTGTTTACTTAAAGGCTGAAGGTGTTGAACAAAAATTGCTGGATATTAATCGGATACCTCAATTGCCTAATGTCCCAGATTCTGATTTGTCAATACCTGTAGCATCCAAAAGTGCATCAAGTAAGCTATCAGAAAGGGTTTTTATTAACGTGCTATACACTTAAATACTTTAAAGATTTTGACAAATCAGTACTTAAGTTACCGTTTAAAAGATGATCATTTAGGGAGGTGAATAGAATAAAGCTGAAATATGAAGATGAAGCAGTCAGAAATACGATCTGTCCAGTTAACCTGAAAACAGCTAGTGAATGAATAATTTATAATGTTAGGATTTTGGTCTTAGGATCTGGACGCAACTTCAGTCAGCTTTATGCAACGTAGAACTTGATGCAATGTTCACTGGTTCAAGTCGACACATTGTTAACATGCTGAGGTGAATTTATCGAAGCATTCCCAGAATAACAAAGGTAGTAACAGTGCCAGTGATAGTAGAAAAGATTACATATAAAGAAAATAAAAAGGGTGTGGAGAGATTTCCGGATCTATGATCTGAGTGGATAACGAGTGGATACACCTGTGTTATTGCGAATAACTAAGCTATGTTACTCAAAGTCCCTAAGCATTGGTTTCAATAGCTGCGGGGACTGCAACTAGGTAGTCTGCATCTACCTACATGGATCAGTTCGATTGCCAATAACTTCATGGGCTGATTGCACGTCATGACTTGGTCACCCTTATTCTCCCTGATTGGATCGCCTCTATAAATTAACTTTACCAGTAATAGTTCATTCAAAGATGAATGATTTCATTGGATTCCGTAAAGTCATCGAGAAAGCTAGTCTGTTTTGCGATTCCTAATTCATGATAAATACTTTAATATCAGTACTGAACTAGTGAAAAATAACATTAAATTATTTGAATTACTAGGTTTACTGGTAACTGAATACAAAAGATTCAAGTACCAAAAAATATTCTAAATACAACTCTCCTGTCTATTTGGTAGTTTAAAATATAGCATACTTGTCGGAGATGAGGCGTTCATTATCACTATACATTACTTCTTTAAGAAGAGTGAATTCGTGAACCCTACTTATATTGATTAATATGCTTAAATATACATAACTAGGGAATGTTTTATTTATGGAAGAGTGCACAAAGTAGATTTCTCGTCGAAGATTACGTGAATAATATCTTGGATATTGAAGCTAAATTAGCGTTAGTGTGAATGTTAAATGTTCTTTCACCTAAGAGAATCCATTATTCAGACTGACGGTTTAAGTAATTTAATCAATTAAACAGCTTCATATTGAAATTACCAATCAGTTGCAAACTTCATTCACGTTACCGTAGTGTACAGTACTGCAGCAGTAAGACTTCCCAAAAACAATCTTATTTTAGTATGTGTAGCGCTATCAAAAGAAAAGGCCACTTTCAAGACCCTTTCTCCCGGGAACTATGTAGAAAACTTACTATCTTTTTTATAACTTTAGTGATTCATCGGCGGAATTTTATCGTAGACATATTGTCTAATATACCTTTCTTTAACAATAGATACGGATCTTAACAACAGGGGTAAAAGGCAAATAAAAACGAAAGTATCTACTTCATTTTGAATGGTCCTAAGCTATATCACCCAGCGTTTCCAACCTCTGATCTCACTTATCACGCCGACCCCAATTAGGTAGGTAGGTAGACATGACTTCGACCCACAGTCAGTCACTTCTCGAAATGATACGACGTCTTGGTTTGGCCGATTACTGCTTTCTACTAACTCCTATATTATTTAATGTCGCTCGTTGTAGTAGACGGTGGTCAGGTGTATGTAATACATTCTAATCATCCCAGTCGATGAGAGTTCATCGTAACTTCATCAACCGACATACTATCTTTACTCTTTACCCTATACCTTACGTCAGTATTACTCAACTGTTTCACAACACATAAGCAATGCTTCAAAGATGTCTACGATCAAAAACCTACGATTTATACGTATCTTCTGTTTTTATAGACCCTATTTCACAGCCATACAGTTATCACAGGCTATATAAAATCGATATATATATATGAGGATTTCCTTTTCTCCTTCATTTATTTAGGTAAGAAAGCAATTGAAGACGACGATATTGGAGCACTTGCTGAATGGGCTAATTAATAATTACATTAATAACACCTCATAATCTTTTTCTAAATCATTATTATCAAGTGTGTTCGTTTATCATCTACAGTTTGAATTGTTCTCTGTTCCCATTATTATGACCTGCCCCGTGTTTTGTTTATTCTACAATGTCCAATAAGACCAGTTTTTTTTTAAAGTAATGATGATAATAATGATTCCCTGCTTCTTTTTTTTAAAAAAAAATAAACACCTTCACATTTGTACTAATCTTTGTGTATAATCAATCTCTGCTTCATTTTTCACTTAAAAAAAAGAAATGAAAACAGTCTAAGCTCCTTTTTCTTCTCTACTCAATTACATTTTGTATGTGTAAATTCGTTTCACTTGAAAAAGATGCACTGTATTGTACTTGTACTACTACTACTACCACCACCGCTGTATTGTATTGAATGGTTTATGTGTTATACTTATTGTAACATTCAAGGTGTTCTACTACTACTACTCAAAGTATTCAATATGAAATACATTGAAAGTGTTTAATTCTACTAACTTATTGATTCTAGTTCTTGGAAGAAGAAGAAGAAGAAGAAGAAAAAAAACAGTTAGATAAATAGATATTTACTAATATATATTTTTTTCTTATACTACTCAATGCATGATGTTTAGCATCAATAATAAATAACATAGTCTGTTGTTACATATATTTTTTTAAATTGGTGAGATGATTTCAACCCCACAACGTTCTCGTTACTTTTCTTACATACATTTATAAATTTTTATCAATAATAGCCTATTAATATACAATATATGTGTGTATACCTGTTGCTAATATACACAAATGATTTGTTATAGCTTAATGCTAGAATTTTCTTCCGTTCTGTTGGCTTTTTCTATCAATCTACCTTTTTCTTTCTCTCTTATTGTGATTAAAATTAAAGATAAACGTTTTAGTTACTACCATTTAAATATTTATATTGTGTGTGTGTGTATGCATGTTTGGGTGTATATGTAATGTGTAAAAAAGGTTGGATTATTGAATAGAACAGTAAAGAGAACATTAGTTAGATAAAGGATCCTACAAATGATTAATTAATTTTGGTCTGGATTATGATTGTGTCAATATTCTAATGATAATCTAATTGTAATTTGATTCCATGTATGAACAACAACAACAAAAAAGCAATACTGTTGGAATTAATTTCTTATTTAAAACAACCTAAATACAATTAATTTTCTATATATTTTTTTTCAAAAGAAAATTGTCACATTCTACATTCGTCTGATTAGATACAAAAGATTGAATGCGAAAACTATGGTAAAACGGAATATAAATATACACTACCCGTTGATATTTATATATTTTTCTATACTTTAAATATATTGGCTAAACCTTGACAAATTCCAGGAACAGCTTCAATCAATGATTTGTCTTCATTTTCACACTTCTTATATTAGCATTGAGCTAGCTTGTTTGCATAGATACTTAATATGTTTGGATACACCCTATGAGTAGTATTGGTTATATGTACGATAAATGAAATAAACATATTGTGAATTTAATTAACTAGAATGTCACTGACTGATATATATTTTGAATGTGACCTAGGTGTAGTTTTATTGTATGAACTGATTACTGAAGAGTCCAATGATTTGATTGATTGACTCTATGATCATAGGATTAGTTAACCAAGCTTAAATACATTGACTGAGACACTAACTGAATTGGATAGATTTCTAAGTGTAATTCACCTTACTTCCTTGTTTTGTTTTCTTCCTGTGATTCTAGGACTTTTCGTCTTTCCGATTACTAATATGTAACGGCTATTTTTTGTATTCGTATAGTTTCTTTAAGTGTTATGTACTTCAGTCGTCAAAGTATGTTACTGATAATATACTATTTCAATATGCGTGCTCAAACCAAGTGAACAGAGAACTTCATTGGTTAACCGAATAAATAATGTATGTACAATTCATTAATACAGACACATATCCCTCAATACATTTGGTCAGATTTCCAGTCAATGGTGTACATCTGCCTCGGGAAGTGAAGTCGAATGTTGACCAATCGCATGCAATGATTAGTATATCGCTTATATAATTTACCTAGCGTTGTGTATTTTCAATAACTGTAGTAATCACTAACTATAGATCTAAGTGATTAGATCACGAGTTACAGTTACACTATTATGTTTTACAAATCTTGTTGCCTTTCAACAGTTCGATGACTTTAAGTGTTTTTGTATCTTAAGCAAAGACAATGATATGATTCAACATCACAGTACATATAATATTCTGATGATCTTAGACTAACCAATGACAGGACGGATCAACTATAGACGATATTTAGTGTTGTGATTAGGGTGCAAATGTCAAACAAGGAACTTGCCGCTCAGTAATATCGAGTAATGTACATTCATAAGATAGTATTGTTCTAGTATAAAGAGAGAATTCCTAATGTACAATAAACCTTTCCGTAGTTTGATATGCTTTACTGAAGGAAAAATGAATTTATGAACATTGATTTAAGTATACCTGCTTTCTAGTAGATTCTAGTGACATTTACTCTATATTTGAATCAAATATGTTGCCCAAATGTTCTTGATGCAACTGTATCTTTCACTCAGCAGGATGGCTTAAAATAGTATGGTTTCCATTGTCTTCCTAGATAACATCGACGCCAGCACAAACCAAGAAAAGTATCCGAATAGGATGTTTTCATAGATGATTACCTACTGGGTTGTGTCAACATTCAGTGTGGTTGATCATCACTTAGGATCTGTCATGGCTTCAACTCATATTAATACGTAACCTTACCATGATCATTCTCTAAAGATACGAATCTTCCTGTGGTTTTTTCTAAAACAGGTGTCCTAAGTCTAAATTTATTTAAATCTTTCTTCAGAGTTTACTTAAAACCCCTTTTGTAAAGAAACTAGCATCATATTCTTTTACCTTAAGAATGATATCTCTCTTGGAAAATGTTCAAAAAGCAGCAACCAAAAACCTACTCAGACTAAAAAGTAAACCTTGCTCATTTCTTGTAGATACCTAAGATTTGCAACTTATGCAGTGCAGAAACAGAACGAACGAGTCTTTCAAAATAAGACTTGATATCTACGTTACTTCCGTAGACATTAACGAATGTTACTCTGTCACCGTTTAATTACCTATCTGATTACCAGTTAATGTATTCTCTTTTCAGATTCAGAAGGAACATAAAAAGTTGTTTTTTTACCTCTTTTTAACCAAGATCTTTTTACTAGTACTCAGATCACAACAAGCAAACAGCTCGCTACTTTTAAAGTATCTTATCCCACTGATTTAAGTTAGTCTTAAATTTTTCCGAGTTAATTGGTTTAAAACAGAGTAATAATTGAATTTTTTTAATTAGGGTCGTGAATCGATTAATGTTATATCATTATTGAAAATCTGAAAGCACTGAACGGCCATTTCATCCTAATATGAGACTCTTCAGTAATGCGCATTCATGATCCCGCCCATGAGATTCAAACTCAAAACTTTCAGTCTCGTATGCGAACGCCTAACCTCTAGTAATTGATTTCACCAATTAATTTTCTATATTATTTTTGAAATCATGAGTCAACTGAAGCTAGATCACCATGGAAAACCTGGAACCACTGGACAGCCTAGTATGGGGCTCAGCAGTTCGCATCCACAATTCCGCCCCCGCGAGATTCGAATCCAGAACCTATCAGTCTTGCGGGTGAGCGCTTAACCATTAGACCACTGAGCCGGCATCCAACGGTGTTAATGTCTAACTTCAACCAATTCACGAAATTGCTGAAGAGTTCCATACTAGGATTAAACGACCGTTCAGTGCTTCCAGGTGTTCCATGGTGGTCTAACTTCAATTGACTCATAATTTCAACTATTGAAATTATTAAAATCTTCACAAAACCCCTTGTGATATATTATTATTTTTATCTGAATAGAAAAACATAATAATGATTAATTTTTCTAAACCTGTTACTAACCATTATATAGTTTTCTGTTTTTAGCAGACTTTACTAAAAATGCTGAATCATAGTCACGTATGAATGTTAGTTACAATTCAAACAAAATTAAAATTGTCACCAATCATTTCTAATTTAATGTAACTATTAGTCAAATGAAAATATTCACATTTCAAGGTTATGTCTAAATAGATCTATAGTACTTTATTTATAAGATGACTATTTTACAAATATTTATGGAGAATTAAATATATAACTCAGTTAACATTAGTCCCAGAGTGAACATCAACTCTGAGATGCAGGTACATCCAGCTGACAAGTCCCAAACAGAACGAAACGCGCGTCCTGGATTCCACTGCCAGCCACTATCCATCTTTGCTTATAATGCTTGTACATTAAGGCAATATCGAGGCATACGCACAGTATACACATATACCAATAAGAGACTGATCAGTTTCAGTCCTAAAATGTCAATGGGAAGATTCAAGCAAAACAATACCAAGTGGATTAACATTAGTTAGTTAGAAAGAAAAAAACAGTTCAATCTATTGATGTGTATATTCATTGATTAATCAATGTGTTGGAGACGTTAGATCCCCAGAATTCAATTGGAAATATCCTAATTTTGTAATTTTATTTTGAAAATTTGAAGTGTTTGTTTTCGCGCCAAAAGCGCTCTTCTCACCTTCATGTCATATTTCCCACTTGGGAGAATCTTAAACGCTATTGGTCCGTTGTGTCTTTTAGTATGCTACTTTGTAAGAATTCCCAAGGACGGTTTTGTGCTATAAATATTCGTTTTGATTTGTGCCTGTTGTGATTGCTCGTGCTTCTAGTTGCTGGCGGACTTCCCTGTTCGGAAAAAAACAATTGCTATAACTTGTGGCCTGTGTGCCTTGTCAATGTATACGTAATGATACCACCAATTAGAGAACAATGAATTATCGATTGGACCAGTGACGCATAAAAACCATGCAAGCAGTCTAAAGTACTATCGGTCCTGCTTCCTGCCTAGCCCAGCCAGTTAAGTCCAGAACACCTATCTCGGCCTCTGCGATATGAATAATTTATTTCAAGCATACCGGGTTTATGTACCAACCAGACAGATCACACCGTACCATAAAATATGAAGCAACATTTGTACAAGATTTAACCCAATGTGGCTGTGAATGTGGGAGGTAGTAATTAATAGACAGGGCATAATTCATTAATGGTAAATCGTATAATAATAGGTCATTGGTCAAAATAAAGCTTATGATATTATTGTTTATTTTATTCAAACACATAAACATTGGTACAAGGAGGCACCAAATACATATGCGCCACATAAATCATTCAATTTGCATGAGGGCTGTCATACCTCCCGGGTGCCCAGATCGAAGCAGGTGGTTATCTTAGGGGGCCACACCCCGAGCCTTTGACCTAAAGGTCTAACCCACAAGGCAGTGGAGCATCGTGAGAAGATGCATTCCCATGGTAACCGGTGACCAACAACTGGTTCACACGCCATTTTTTCCCGCAGAATACTGGAGCCCATGTGCAACATTGGTTTGGAATCCCGTTAAAGTGCCGGACATTCGCTTTTCGTCCTCTCATTTTCGTAAACAACAGTAATGCCACGAGAAGGCAGTGAGTAGGACTTCCCTGGCAGAGGCTGTATACGCGTGGCCGTGTGAGAGCGTTTCGAGAGGGAGGGCGGGCCCACCCCATTCTCGGCCATACCAAGGCATGTGGGGGCTAAGCTTATGATAAGAGGAACACGAATATGAATACTTTAGTCATTTAACAATTATACGATAAAAAATATACGCATAGTATTGGTCCAGAGATGGGTCACAAAAGTTACCATTCATTGTGCTTATCGAGACATATCACAATTTCAAATTCTATCCAATTCAAAACTGACAGTTGACCAGCAGAATAAATACAACATGTATATGTATCCGTCCCTTAGGAATTTAAGTAACATTTCCCTCCAATAGGTTGTCTCTTTCCATAGAAGAGGAACCTATGTGTTTGTAAGTACGACTGGCCTATTACATAAATTGTAAAAGATAGTTTAGCGAAACTATAATTTATGATTTAATTATAAAACTATGTATAGAAAGTCTGGCTATCAAACAAAACTATCAGTATATTTGGTTGTTAAGATAAAAACAATAACTACCGGACATATCCTAGATGTAGCACAACAGAAACCTTGTTTCTGGCTAATGAAATACAGCTACGGTTTGCGGTAAACAGTTCAACTTGACCTAAATCGCTTCTCATGTTCCCAAATGCCGTGGCACGGCTGAGGGTGGGGAGAGTTCATTGTCCCGCTCGTGGCCATGCATATACAGAAACTTCTACAGAATTCCTAATCATAGCCTTCTTGTGGTGGAGGGTTATTTACGAAATTGGAAGGACAGAAAGTGAATGTCCAGCACTTCAACAGGGTTGATGGATATGGAGTACCCACCTGGGGGAGTTGGAAAACCCTAATCCTAAACCAATGGAGAACATGAGCTCCAGGATCCCG